ATTATTACTGTGTGTGATTTATGATTTGTTTTAAATAATTTATTAGTATAAACTTCTATTTCGTATTTTCTCTTTTATCTTCTATTTCTACATTTTAGTATTAATTAAATATTCTTATTAATCATTTCTTGTGTTTTTCATTTTATTATTATGTGTAATATTTGTTTAATTTTTTATATTTATTATTATTTAATAGGTATTTGATGTTATTTATTTTTGATGTTATTTTATTATTAAATTTTCTTTTATTAGTATTTTATTCTATTATTTGTTTGATTATTGTTGTAATTAAATAATTATAGTTTTCATTTCATTTATTATATTGAGATGAATATTCATTATTTATTTTATTTATTTATCATTCTTTGATTTTTGATATTAATATATTATAAATTTTATATATTTCTCTTCTATTTATTTTTATTATCTCTATTATTTCTTTTTCTATATATCTCTTTTTATTATTAATATCCTCTCTTTTATTTATTATTATTATTTTATCTTTTATTTATATTATTTATTTCATATTCATTACTATATTTCTTTTAATTTGATTATTTAATTTCAATTGATATATGGATTAAATTCATTAATTATAATTATTATGTTTAATTATAATTAAATTTATTTGTTGATAAAATCAAGTCATCATGATTTATTTGATATTTTAATATTTTATTTATATAATTATATAATCAATATATAAACTGTTTATTTATTACTTTATTATATTAATTGTTGTGATTTCGATATGTTCTGTGTTATTATTCATTTCTTTATTATTATTGAATCATTTAATGTTGTTTATGTTCAATCAATCAACTGTACATTGCTTGACTTTGTTGATTCATACACATTATTTCTGGTTATTTCATTTGCTGGTGTTTATGTTCTATCTAATGTTTAAATATTATGTATTGTTTGTGTTTTAATTATTCTGATATTTATCATGTCCAATTTTATAAATAATTTTGAACTTTCTTCTTTTTATTTATATTATCATTATTTATTTATGTTTTAATATCATTCTCTGTTATTTTATTTTCTATTTTTATTTGATCAATACTGATTTCATCAGTTGAATCTGTGAATTATAATATTAACAAAATGTGTAATTTGTTGATGAATTAAATTTAATTCATTATAACAATTTTTATATATTTCATTATATTTATTTTCATATTTTATCTCACTATCATATATTTTCATTCTTTCATCATTTAATATTATTTATTAAATCTATTATTTATTTTATTATTTTATTATAACTGAGGTATTATAATGCCTTTCTTTCTTTTATTATTGTATTTTTAATTCAATTTATCTATTCTTACATATTCTTGTTATCTGTTTTTCTCCTTTATTATTTCCTCTATTTTGTATTCTATTTCATATAATATTTCTTTTTTATTCATTTTATCTTTATCAATTATATTCTATTATTTCTTCTTTTTCTTTTGTATTTCTTTAACATTTTAATTTTATTTTATTATCTCTTGTTTTTTTTTCTTCATTTCTTGTTTTAATTTCTATTTCATTTTCTTTTATTTCTCAATCATCTTTCTTACATACCTTCTAATTTTTCTTCTTTTCTATCTTCTTTCATTTATATTTATAATACTTCTTTTTATCTTTCAATAAAAGTTATATATATTAATTTCATTTCTTTGTAATAATTCTTTTTCTAATTGAACACATTGTTCTTTTGATATTATCAAATGTACTTAGTTTTTTCTTTATTTCAAAGAGAGTTACCATTTTCCATCACTATTCACAAACATCATTGTATCAATGTTAAATAATGCTTTTATCATTCTTTTCTTATTTATTTTCCTCCATTTTAGATAATTATTCAGATATAAGTTGTTGTACATTTTGTAATTGATTTGTTTTGTTTGTTCATATCAATTTCCTCTCCCACTTAAAAATGAATAAAGATAAGAAATAAAGAAAAATAAACGAATTAATTATTTCTTTTTATTTTTTAATTGAAAAAGAATATAGTAAAATAATACAAAACAATAATAATGAAAAGAAAAAAACTACAGTTAAGTTCCTTTACATTAATTAAATAAAGGTTAACGTAGTCTTATTCATTAACACTGAATAAACTCTACTCACCATACTATATTTTGATTTAGTGAAAAAACTGAACCACAACAGAGGTTCAAACGGTTACCAAAAAAGTATTTCATGCATGAAAAAGAGTTAAGGTATTTCAGTGAGGTTTTGTGTTAAATAACATAAAGCAATATATCTATTTAATTGAATTATTAACTCATTCAAATAGAATAATAAAAGAGATAAAGAAAACTAATAAATTAGATAACAACAAACAAAATTTAATTGCAATATATTCTAAGAATAAAAAAGCGTAAAAAAATAAGAAATATTAAAAAATAAATAATTTAAAATATAAAACTAATTATTAGTTTAAGAAATTTAATTAAATTGAAGTAAACTATAAAGTAGTGTTAAAATTATTTAATAAAACTACTTAGTAATTTACCATATGACCTGTCATCACCAAGAACATACCAACCATCCATAATTGTACCATTAACAATTTGTGTAAAAACAGAAGCACTTTGAGTAGTTTCAAATATAAATGTTTTATATTGTTCATTTCTAAACTGTTTAATGGTAACAGTTCTATTAGAGATATCAGCTACAACATTACCATTTAAAGGAAACTCTTCTAAAACAATTTTTTCTTTGGTTTTACCTTTTCTAATTAAAATAATATCATTACATAAATATACAACAGCGTTTTTCTTTTTTGATTCTTTTAATTCAACTCTGTACTCTCCAATAAGGATTCTACCAAAAATAAAATATTCAGGTTTGCCTAAAATTTCACAAAGTCTTTGTAAATCATCTCTCATTTTAGTTCTTTCATCAACTACTTGAGAGAAAAAATGATATTCATCATATGACTTCTTTAATAACCCAAAATCTTTATGTACTTTTTTAGTTGCTTTTATAAGTTCATTAATGAGCATAGGGTATCTCATTGTTCTTTGAACTGGTTGAATAAGTAATTGTTCAAGTGTTCTATTATCTAATTCTTTTATTTTTAAATTATTTTCTATTAATGCAATAACACATTTATTCTTTTTAATTTCTTTCCAAGTTTTTAAAGAAATATTATAATCAGTAGTAAATACCAATAATGAAGTTACAAGATAAAATGATTCATTTAATCCTTCTCCAATCAATGTATCAAATTTAAGATTATCATATAACGCTTTAAATCTATTAGATATTTCTTCACTATTATGAAGGCACCTATCAAATGCCATTGTAAATACATTTATAACTTCTTTTTCATTTAATAATCCTTTATTAGCCATTTCTTTTAACGGTATTCTAAAATATTTATCCATCAACTTCATATTTTTACATAAATTTTCTTCTGTTTGAACAATTTCTTGAAGTACATTCTTTCTTTGAAGAAGATTATTTATTGAAAGTTCTCTTCTAATTAAAAACCCTCTAATAACTGCTTCCATTGTAATTATATTATCTAACCTTTTTTGATAATTGGAATCTGATTTAAATATAATGTGTTCACTAGAATTATTTGGTGTAGATGAAAGACTAAGTAATGATTGTTCATGTAAATTTTGTTGAAGTTTAGGAAGATCAATAATTGCTGATTGAATTCTACTTTTTCTCCAACTTCTTTTCATTGGAGACACAAGCCCATCTGTTCTTGACATTAGCCCAATTGTTTTACCTTCATCTTTTATTGATAGTTGTTTTGTATTAACAGATAATTGGGTAGATTTTGTTAACGAATTATAACTTGCAGTTAAATCAGGTGAACTAAATTGGATAGGTGGTGGTAACATTGAATTACCATCTGAAGGCTTTCTTCTAAAATATCTTGAATTGGATGGTTTTATAATCTCAATAGCATCAACAGAATTTTTTCTAGGAGACATTATTTCACTTTCACAATTTCTTTGATTAATATTTTCTTCTTTTTTAACTTCCATTGATTTAATTTCATTATTACTTGTTCCAAAAGACCAATTTCTTATTAACTCAATAATATGAGAGTTTCTTCCTTTTAACTCTTTTCCTCTTTTTTCTATTTCTTCAAACATCTTTCTAAATGTCATTTTTTCTCCTGATCTGTTTCTTGATATAATGCATTTGGCAAGTTCTTGTCCCATTCCTTTAACAATTAATCGAGTTGCTTCTAATTTATTATCAACCATATAATAATCCATAACATTTTCTATATCAATTCCAGCTCTAAGCAATGGCCCTGCTTTCATTACAATATCTTTAATATCTCCAACAACAAGAATATCAGGTTTATCTGATAAATATTCTGTAAGTAACGCAACCTCTTTCATTTCATTTGAACTGAGATTAGTATGTATCACTTCATTACAATCCCGTCTTTTTTCTCCAAATAATTCAAATAATATAGTTCCTCTTGACTGAGGATTATCAAGAACCTTCTTCGGAAAAGAGAATCGTTTGGTGGGGCTTTCAATGATAAATAAGCGATTCATTTGTTTAGAAAACAAGAAAACAAAATAACAATTTCTAAGTTTCATCAAACTTTTTTGAGAATCTTAATTTTATTTGTTTTATTTCTCTTCAAGAGAATTTGTTATTTTATTTAAAAAAATTATACTTTTTTATTGTTTCTTCAGTTTTCTATTTTAAATTAAAAAAATAAAAAATAAAACAAAATTCTATTTCTATATTTAACACATTACGATAATCATCAATTACTTAGCGATCTTCTTGGCAAGTGCAGCTTTGTAGGCAGCAATGGCATTCTTAGCCTTATGAACCTTAATTCCAGTTTTATAAGCTCTGAGAGTTGGTTTAGACATAAGTTTTTCAGCCATTTTCTTTGATGGAATTCTGATTGGTTTCTTTTCAGTAATTGGTTCAACTTTCTTTCCGAAGATATCCATAGTAAGAGCTGGATAAGCAGCAGTGAAGACTTTAGCTACTTCTTCATTTCTCTTAGCAACGAGTTCTTTATATGATTTTCTGCTTTCAGCTTTCTTAGCAAGATATGCCTCACGATCCTTATTCAAGAATAATTTAGTAATAATGACATTTGATGGTCTAATAGCAACTGGAACAGTTTGTCCATTAGCTTTAGTCTTAGTTAACTTATCAATATTAATGACATATTTGCTTCTTCTTACAGCAGTGACTTTACCGGCAACTTTTTGATGTCCTTTAATAATTTTAACTTCATCGTCTTTATGAATTGGAACAGCAATAACATTATACTTTTCTCTAAGTTCTTTTGAAAGTCTAGCACTCATTAAAATGGCTCGTTGACTTGCTGGAGCAGTGTAAAGGGCTTTTCTAGCTTTGCTTGGATTTGAACTAACTTTGCAATTGAATTTCATCGCCACTCTGTTTTAACGTATTAGTTCTTTTTCTAGTACTAGGGTAACCCTGAACTTCTCTCTTATTTTACTATTCTTATATAATTTTTTTATTATTTCTTATTATTTCTCTCTTTTTCCTCTGAAATCATTTTAATTATATTTTTGTTTTTTAAATAACACAATTTCTTTTTTTTGTGTTATTATTTTTTGGCACAGAAAAATCTGGAGACCAATTTTGTGTAAAACATTGGACCATTGTTGAGCTCATCATTTGTCAATCTAATAATCATTAATGTCTATGAATCCTTACAAAGCATACCCTCAAATAGACAGAGCACACCCTATGAGATGGACTGAAAATGTCCCGGGTCCTTATTATGTTTCTACTAATTGTGTTGATTGTGGAAATTGTTCACGTCATTGTCCTGGCTGCTTTGCTCGTCATAGTTTTCCAAACCATTGGTATGTAAAACGTCAACCAGAAAGTCCTGAAGAAGTGAAAAGGATGGAGAAGGCTATAATTTGTTGTAAAGGGAAAGCAATTATGAAAGCAGAGAACTGACTATTTCATCTTTCATTATTGCTTTTAAAACTAAAAAGAAATGGAAATGAATTAATTTAGTTATGTTCATTTTTTTGTTGTTCAGGTAAGTCTAAAATATTTAACTCTTCATCAAGAAGTTGTAATGTATTTTCTTGTTGAGTTGGTTTTTTTGTTATTGTTGCCATAACAAGAACAAAGAAAACACCTATAAGATTCATCATAATTAGTTGTAATGCTGAGGTCATAGAATAAATGATGATACAAGAAGGTATCCAAATAATATACCCTCCAATTAGTCCAATGACCCAGTCATGACTAAAGTATTGTTTAATTAATGAAAAAGAGCATCTTGGTAACTGAAGATTGTTATTATAAATCCAATTAATCCAATAATTGACATGAGACATATAAAATAAAGTCCAAATAAATTGGTCAAACAACATTTTATAAATCACCTGTAAAATCCCTTCATTTCCAAAGAGATAAGATTGTAGTTTATAAAAAAGATCTGATTGAATACCCTTGTTATATAAGTTTTTATTTTCTTTAAAGTTATATTATTTCAAATAGAACAAACAACAACACCATATGCAATAAACATATAAATTCCAATACTCTTTATACTTTCTTGTTTAATAGATTTTTGAATAATAGATATGGTCCAAGGAATAATCCCCATGAATAAACCAGTAGCTACAAAAGAGTAGAGGTATGATAACTTTATTTTTATTTTTGACATTGAAAGAAGAATTGAAGTTATTAATGGGATATTGTAGTATGATAGAACAATTAGTATTTCTAAACTCAGAATAAGAATAGCTGGTTTTATATTTTTAATAAATACACTTTTAATTTCTTTTAATAATCCATTAATGTACTTTTTATTCACAAGGAAACTAGTTGAAGAAATGATAGGATGCATTGTATTAATCTAGTTTTAGTCATCAAATTATTTTTGACTTAAATCGTTTTAAAAAGTTCATTTAAAAAATTTTGTTATATATAAACAAAATCCTTATTATAAAAAGTAGTTATAATAATAGTTTTGAATGAATTATATTATATTATATTATTTCAGAGTTAAAATAAATAATAATTTTATTTTATTATTTTTTGTTTTGCTTAGAATTTCTGTTAAACTAGTACACAAACCATTATCACATTTTTTGTAATTCATTGAGTTATTAATTAATAATTTTGTTACAAATTAGTTTGGTGTTTATTCACTTTTTTTCTTTTCATAATTTGTGGAAGATCATTTAGAATTGAATTTATTGATAAATTTATTACAAATGTTATGGTTTTTTTGTTAACTATTTTTTCTTGATAATTCGTTATTTATTTATAATTTTCTTTTAATAATAACATCCAAATACTATAAATAAGATCATTATTTTATATTAATAAGGATAATTCTGATTTAAAGCAATTTTAAAGTAATTCAGTTGAAGTATTATACTAGTATTAATTGGATAAAAAAGCTTAAACAAGAATAAAAATCTAACAATAATTAGAAAATTGATTTATTACAGTAAAATTTCAATAAAATATTATAAATATTGATGACTGAAATGAATTGAAAATAACAGAATAAATTAAAATACAAAAGTTATTATAAAAAAGATTTTGTTGGCAAAAAATAATCAATTACTTAATATCTATTTTCTTCATATGAGAAGTAAGTAATTATTTTCTCTTTAACATTAGTAATCTCTGTTTACATAAAGTTTTTCAAACATAAGCAAATTAAGTAATTAACTATTTAAATTAATGAATAAACTTTGGTTTAAATTTAAAGTATGAAACCCAACAGGTTTACAATGACCGTTTTATTTAAGAAGGTCATCTTAATAATACTGGGACTATTGTTCATTACATTTAAATACGATAACCAAAATTGTAACATTTTTATTGATAAGACATCATACATCTAATTCTAAATATTTATTTATAAAAAAAAACTAAAAAGATTTTATTAAAGAATCATGAAAAGATCTGATAAATATTTGATAACTGAAAGATAATCTCAGTTATGACCATGTAATAAAAGAATATTTTTATAAACATGATATGTATTGTTCTTAAAGTTATATATCAATTATTCAAGAAGATGAGTAAAGACGTTTAATAGTAGAGGTCTGAATAGATAACAAATTACAAAATGTAGTATTGGAAAATTACATAAGAGAGAGGCATGAAGTAGAATCAAATTAGGTAGATGAGTATTAATTTATTGTGATTGTTGTTATTTGTTTATCTGTTAATTTATTTTCTTTGATATTTTCTTGTGTTATTGGTTTGTTGTTTAGTTTGTTGTTATTCTTTTTTATTATTATTTCTTCAAAAACTTATTTCCTTTTCTTTTTTGTTGGTGTGTTTTATTTTCTTTATACAATCGATTTATTGTTCATTTTCATAATTGGTTATGGTTAGTTGTTAAGTATAATTAAATGATTAAAAATCAAATTATTTATAAAAATACTTTTTTCATTTTAATATTTAAAAATATTAAATAACATTATTTTTATTTGTGTTATTTATTCATCATTTTAAAAATAGATTAATTAAAATGATGTCTCATTTAATTTGTTATTTTATTAAATAAAATGATTTGTTATAAATGTGTATTTAGTTATTTAATCATCTGATTTTGATCTGATATTCATTAAATTAAAATGGATGAGTTAATAAACAAGAACACTCATTTCTTTAAAGAAGAAATAGAAACACTTCCAAATATTCAACAATCAATTGATGATATTAATAAACATTATCAATATTATTTAGGAAGTATTAAAAATGAAATATTTGAAATAAAACCAGATGAAACATATTCAGAAGCTATTAAAAGAGGAGAAGGAATATTTGATAGGATTGATGAAACAGAAAGAAGAAGAAAACTAGTAATAGAAAAAAGTCAAGAAACAATTAATCAAATAGAAATATTGATCGATAAAATGATAAAAATAATCGAAGAATGTGAAGGTGATGAAGAAATACTAAGTAAAACACGGAATGAAATAATTAATAAAATCATTTCAATTGAAGAAATGATAATGAAAAATAAACCATTCAGAACACCAGAAGAAAAAGATAAAATCACCCAATCATTTAACAGAAAGAAAAAAGAATGGGAAACATATTGTAGTGATTATTTTGAGAGGAAAAAGATAAAAGAAGAAGAAACAATGAAAACTTTAAGAAAGATGAAACAAGAAGAAATAAAACAACTAGAAGAATGGACAAATAGAAAAGTATCACATATACTATTTGATTCAGATATTGATGATTGGAATAAAGGTACATCAGTATTTGATCAAAGAATAATAAATAAAGAACATATAATAATTATTATTGAAGATGAAGATGGAAATAAATTTGGAGGATATGTTAATGTAAAAATTGATACATTTGGTTGGATAAATGATCCAAAATCATTTATATTTTCATTAGAATCAAAAGGAAGAATACAAGGAATGAAGAAATTTGATATTGACAATCCACAATATGCATTCTGGATAGGTGATCAATCAGATACGTGTTTGTTTAAATTCGGATATTCTGGTGATATTACTACCGGAAAAAACAATTTGAAAACAAGTTCATTTTGTATTCAATCATCCTTTGATTACAAAGGAATTAAAGAAACACTTTGTGGAAAACAATGGCCAGTATGTTTCACACCACAACGAATCATTGTTATTGAAATGAAATTGTTAAATTGTTTTATTAAAATATAAAAAACATTTATAATTCAATATTTGATTTATATTTAAATTCATTTTTGCCTGTTATTATTTGTGAGACTGTTTTTATGTGTAATTGTTATACGTTATTCTGTTTTTCTAATTATTTCAATGCTAATGATGCCTTAATTAAAAATCTTAACTAGACATTTTATTAACCAGACCTATATACCTGTTTAATGAATTAACTATGTAAAATATTCACATGACACGATAATAAAAAAGATACTGTACTTGTTTTATTTGAAAAGTTATTAAGAGGAATGGATGGTAACTGATATCAATAAATGACATTTGGCTATCTTTTGATATAATAAAATAAGGCATATAACAATTAACAAGTTATTTATTATTTAAAAAGAAACTAGTTAAAGTTTTTAGTGAATAACGAATAGAATGAAATAAAACATCATTGACAAAAATATTTCACTTGATATTAAATTTTCTTTTTGTTATTTTTTAATTGAAATTAGTTTATTTTAGTATTTTTTGAAATTAAGTTCAGTAAAATCATTTATTTAAAAGATAGTAATATAAACTCTATTTCGATGTTATATATTAAATATAAATTATGATTAGTTATTAATGGTTATGCTTCATTTCACAATTGTTAATGATAATTGTATTTAGAAATTTTTTAGATAAAAAATACTAAAAAATATTTCTATAAAATTATAAAATATTATTATCAATAATTTTATTTTGACTAATTTTAATACTGTAACTAAAATAATAATTCATTATAAATAAAATACATTTGAAGAAGGTTAGATTCCTTTATTTTAAGGACTTAGAGAATTGTCTCACCTACAGCATTGAGTGTAATAAGACTCAAAATATAGTGAATATATTCATAGAATTAATAAGGTTATATCATTGGAAGTATAAAATCAATATGAACCAATTTATCTTGTTTAATTACGTACCATAGAAACTGTTTAGTGAAATTATTAAAAACAATAAATCAGATTCAGCGAGTGAATTGCGTGAGTAATGAAAACTTCTGTAAATAGTTTTAATTAAAATCAGTCATTTAAAAGGTAATTAATTAACATAGCACACCTTTACTTGTTATTGAAAAAAAGAATTCATTAATAAAAGAGAAAAAGAAAAAAAAAAACACTTTTAGAAAGATTAAAATCATTCCCTTATAATTCTGAAAACAGTTGTAAAGAACAAATGAAAAAAGAACGTTGTTCCATCATCCCCATGTTAGTATTGTGGTTAGAATTCTATGCTCTTATTCTTTTATTTATTACATCTGATACAGGTACTGACGCTATAGTTAATGCACATATTTCAATTGGAACTAGGATAAATGAATTCAGTAAAATATATGTTAACAGCTGGAGTATATCCACTTACTGTTTTAATTATGTCACTTTCTGGAATTTAGCCCTATACTAAATTGGTAATGCCATCAACATTAGTTTGTTCCTAAAGTAAGATGTATTATTCTTAAAGTATTAAATGCATTAGGTAAATGGTCTTGTCTGGCTCATATGTTATGGTATTGATGGTTATTCCATTCTTCTTTATTATTCCATTGCCAATTAGACATCTAGAATCTGTTAGATCAAGTTACTATCAATTTATATGTTTATCCAATTTATGAATTTGTTATATTAACGTTAGGAACTATTGTATCATTAATTATGTACATTGTTTGTAGGAGTACATAATATAGTTCTTCATGATAAACAGAAATCATGAAGAAGATAGGCTTAAGTGGAGACCATTATTCTTCTTGTAGATTCTTAGTTATAAAGATTATTGTTCCAATCTTCTTATTTATTTCATTTGTATTCTTAGTGATTAGCATTTCTTGACTTTATTTCTCATTTAATTTCTTAGGACTTGCAGAATGGACACAGGTATTCTTAGATAATCTCTACGAAGAGAACCTTCTGTTGTTGGTTTTGGAACACAACTTCCAGGTGTTAATAGAGGTCCAAATAGTTTTGCTGTTAGAACAACTCAAAAGTGTATTTCATGACAGTCATTGTATTACTAATTCTTCATTGGTTTTGTCATTTGTATTATGGTTTGCACCATTTCAGAGAATATTCCAAAGTTTCTTATCATTGTTTTGAAGTATTATGTGCATGGTCATGTATTGATGTCTTTGTAGTTTCAGTTATTGTTGTATTGTTGAATTATTACAATTTGTATCATTTGTAGTTAAACTATCATGTGAAGATAAAATTCTACAACTTGGAGCAAGCATTGATGATATTGTAGCAAAACCCTTGGAGAAAAATAACTTGTTGATAGGCATGAAACATGTTTTGAAGTTAAAACTAACCTTGAAGGAGGACGTTGGTTATTATTTGTAGTAGTCATCATTTATACAATTTATTCAATGGCAGTTATGAAGATTACAAAGAGATATTTTGCCAAAAAAAACTTCCAACTGAAGAAGAAAGAGTTATAATGAATTGAACAAAGATAGAAATAGCAGAAAATTAAGAAGAAGACAATGACAATACAAATAAAACAGAAAAAAAAAGAAAGGTGAGCAAAGAAACAATTAAGAGTAACCTCTTTGAAAACTGTTTAATGAAATTAAATAAACATTTAAACTTAAGAATAAATAACTTCTTTCTTAACTAAAATTAATTAACTCATTTCTTACAGGAACTAAATAATAATAAAACTAATTTTTTTTTACTAAGAAAATAAACAAAAATCAAAGAAACTTATGAAAGAAAAGATAAGTAAATTTTATTTGGATTCATTGTAAATAGGCTCTAATCCAGATTGGAAGTGCCTTAACTTCAAATGTCTTCCTCTAGAAATTCTAACTTTGGGAATTAAGTCCCTATTCATATACATCTGTTCTAATGCTCTAACTGTGTAGTCAATATGCTCTTTGGAATATACGTTTCTTGGAACAGCAAATCTAACTTGATCATTAATTCCTTTTCTATCTTCTTCATCTTTATTATCCCATTCAAATCCAAATGGCCCTAATTCACAAGCCCTAATTCCATACATTCTGATCATTTCAATAACTAATCCAACTCCAAGGAAATCTCCAGGGGAATAATTCTTTCTATTGTTGAAGAATTTATCAGTTTCAATATAAATAGCATGTCCTCCTGGTGGTAAGAAAACTGGAATATTTCTCTTTGCTAACTCATATCCGAAATATCGTACTTGTTCTATTCTTCCTTTAAGATATGATTCTCCTTCAACAACAGACAAACCCATAGCACATGCCATAATATCTCTTCCACTTAATCCTCCATAAGAATCATTACCATACCTCAAAATTTGAAGTTGTTTTAAGATTACTCCAACATCACCTTTAGTACTAAACTTTCTCCAAAATACTCCTTGGTCTCTAAAAGCTAAAGCACCACCCATATTGCAAACTCCATCTTTCTTTAGAGAAATACAAAATCCATCAACATAGCTAAACATCTCTTTAACAATTTCTGGAATAGAAATCTTATCATATCCTTCTTCAAATTCATGAATAAAGTATGCATTTTCAGCAAATCTTGCTGCATCAAAGAAGAATGGAATATCATATTTCTTAGCTAATTCAGAAGTTTCTCTAATATTTTTCATTGAAACTGGTTGACCAGCTCCAGTATTGTTAGTGATAGTCATTAAAATTAAAGGAATATGCTCTTTTCCCTTTTCATTAATAAACTCTTCAGCACGTTCAATATTCAAATTACCTTTAAATTCATTTTTAGTCCAAAGAGTCTCTGGATCCACTGGATCATGATAGTTCTTAGCAAACAAATTAACAGTATGGAATCCATTGTTTCTAGCATTAGCCTCAGTAGTATCAAACCACCCATTTGAAATTAAGTGCCATTCTCCTTTACCAAGACATTGAGACATAACTTCATATAACAAACACTCTGCACATCTTCCTTGTGGTAAGATAAAGAAATTTGGTCTTTCTATTTGAAGTCTTCCTTTATTAACAAAAGTACCTGGAACTTCTGGCTCAGTCCAATATGGATCTTCTGGGTTATTTGTGAAATTTGGAATACCACTGACAATATCTTTAACTACCCACCTAGCTTTATCCCCTCGTTCAAAAGCATCTCTAACAGATTCTTGAAAAGCGTAATATCCTTGATTTCTTCCATAAGCCTCATCTCCTCTGAACAATGAACTCCATTGAATATCAGTCATAGCAGATGAACCAGAATCAGAGAGATAATCTACAAGAAGCATTTGTGAAGGGAAAAAGAAACAATTGTATTCAGTTTGTTTCTGAATCTTTTCTCTTTCTTCTGGTTTAAGATTAGTTGTTTGTCTTACAACATATGAGACATGAGTGGGAACTGGAACACCAAGTTCAGTAGATAGTTTCATAGCAATTAAGTCTTAATAATTAAGTTCTTTGTTATAACTCTTTAAATACTGATACTAATCTTCCTTTTAATCGATTGATAACTCTATAATCATATTTTTAAGATTAGTAACTACAGACGTTTCTTTCCCCTTCTATCTTCTTATTTTAATTTTTTAAAATACTTCCACAACAATCTAATAAGAACTAGAATATATGCTCATTAAAAGATGAAGGAATGTTTTTTTGACTTATTGAAAAACAATAAAAATCATCTTTATAATTATTTAAAATTGTTTTTTAAAAATTTTTTTCTCTATTAATTACCCAACTCATCACCTAAAAATAAAATGATTCAGTCAAATACTTTAAAAAAAAGACAAAGTAATAAGAGTTAATCTTTTGTTAATAGTCGTATCATTAATTTACTTGAGTTTATTTGATTTCTTAACTCAACCCATTTCTTTTCATTTACAAAAACTGAGACAAAATAACATTTTTGATGATATAAATAAATCTAAAAAAAGATTTCTAAAAATAAATATACTTAAAGAAAACTATTTTTTAAACCAAAACAAAAAGAAGAAGAAAAAAACTTAAAAATCAGTTCCAAAGGAATGGCTGAGAAAACTGAAACGAAGATTGTTAAACATGCGAAGAATTTAACAGAATTTCCACAAGAAGAAGTAAAGAAAGAAATAAAGACAGTTGTTTTAATAGATGTATCAATGAATCGTATTCAAGAAATACCATCACAAATTAATTCAATAGCAAAATTACAAAAATTTCGAGGAAATGATAATATGATTAAAACACTTCCAAGTCAAATAAATATTCCTAGTCTTAAAACTTTAGATTTATCAAGTAATCATTTAAAAAGATTTTGTAAGTCAATTAAATTAACGTCACTTACAGAAATTAATTTATCTATTAATCAAATAACTAAAATTGATGATGATTTTGGTTCTTTACATGCTTTAAGATTTATGGATTTATCAATTAACCGAATTCAAAGTGTACCAAAACATTTATCTAAATTAACTAGTCTTACATTTATTGATATTTCTAATAATTTATTAACATCATTCCCAACACCTTTATTAGAACTTTCATCATTAATTGTATTGAAAGTAAAAGAAAATAAAATTACAACAATTCCAAATGGTATGTCTAAAATGAGTAATTTACAAATTCTTGATATTTCTAATAATAAGATAGATAAAATTACACCATCATTATGTAAATTAACAAAATTATCTGTATTAGATGTTAGTGCTAACCCAATTAATGAAATTAATGATCAAATTCAAAATTTAACTACAATTAAAGAAATTGATATTTCTTATTCACCATTAAAAACATTACCTAAATCATTTATGTCACTTGTTGGACTTCGTAAATTAACATTACAACATACATCAGTTAAAGTACCACCAGCTGGTCTTCAAAAATTTACTAAAGTTCAGAACTTAA